TAGAGGCTGCTCTGAACACTGCCTTAAAAACTGCAAGGAGCTTGGAGTGTGGTATAGTGATAGAGGGCTTGCCTAGCAATCCAGGCAAGGCCCTGGATTCAATTCTCAGCACATTGGGAGGGGTGGAGATGAGGATTCCAAAGTGACATGATACTCATTAAGAGCCTATTTTGTTTACTGTGTTCCTTGCTGAACACATGTTATCTCCTTCCCTCATCTCAGCTCCCTATTTTGGGGCGATAAAACAAGCTCACACTAGTTTTTAAACTAGTGCCTGTCACATGTATAGAAATCATGGAAGTATGTGGTAAGCAAAAGAGTTTGATAGCACAAAAGGGTATGAACACCTACCACTTTCAGTTTATAGAATCAACCACTATAGATGCTTCATGCAAATTCAAACAAATCTATTGGCATCTTAATGCATAAGTAAGACTAAACTGTATTTAATGTCTGACCCCCCCCACACACATTTAGTATTTTGGTAATCGTTCTGTGGTATCTCCTTTTCTGTGGTTATATCTTATTGTAGGAATATATATGACATATCTACCTAGCTCCTGATGACACGCTGCAGGTAGGACATTTAAGTTGTTCTAGGTTTTGTTTGTTTGTTTGTTTATTTGCTATTTTTCACTGCCTGATGACTGAGCCACTCTTATCAAATAACCTCTTATACTTAATCAAGTATCAACCAAGAGATCTAGGCCCCAAAGCCTGGGTTCCTGTGTCTGAATATAACAACTGACTTCATATAAGTCAAGGGATGAGTGTTAGTTTGCTTACACATCACTTTGCAGAGCTAGTTTCCTCCCAGTCCTCACTCACCAAACTTGAGGAGTATTACCATTTCCTAAACAAACCCAAACTCACTATCAACTGCAGGGTCTTGCCAAAGAAGATGGGCCCAGAAGGAACTCAGAGAATGTCTGAATCAAAAATAAGCACAAAACTCACTAACAGGAGATACATTTTAGAAAATTGCCTGTGTGCTATTGAAGCCCTGCTACTCATATCTACCTATGCGTGTGCACACACAATCACAACCTGTCTATGTGTTTGCACATGCACACAAATATACACACCACCATCACCATCTCAACCCATCATTTAATGTCCTGGCCTCTGGCTGGAACACAGTACACAGCTTAATTTGCTATTGACAGTCAGAACAGATAAAGGTTCTAAATAGAAACAGTGTTTTTAAAATGCCTGTTATTCATCAGTCAGTGTCTGAACCAAATGCGGACATTTCAATGATAATTATCCACAGTCTCACAGTTCCATCCACTGATTTAAATGGAATGAGTTCCATAATGGTGGTGGCTGGTCATTTCTTTTGCTTAGAATGATTTCCTGGGAAAGGTTCCTAATTGTTAGGACTTAAGCTACATGACACCTGCCTCTGGCTCTAGTTTCTTTCAAAGGCAGCATATATGCTATCAAGAACAAAGACCTAAAAATCTTAGGGCCTTGTGGGAATAGTTCAGTGGTAGGACATATGTTCAGCATGCTTGAGGCTCTGGGTCTATCATCAGCATGTTTATACATGCATAAACACATCATACACACATATAGGGGCAGTGTGGAAGAGTCTTGTGTGCTAGCTTGTTTATGCCAACTTGACACAAGCTAGAGTTATCTGAAAGGAGGTTAACCTCAACTGAGAAAAATATCTCCATTAGCTCTGTCTGTAAGGCATTTTCTTAATTAGTGATTGATGCAGGAGGGCCCAGCTCACTGTGGGTGGTGCCACTGCTGGGCTGGTGGGCCTGGGTTCTATAAGAATGTGGGTTGAGCAAGCCAGTAAGTTCTTGCCTCCAGGTTCCTGCCCTGTTTGAGTTCCTGTCCTGACTTCCTTCAGTGATGAACAGCAATGCTGGAGTGTAAGCAAAACAATCCCTTTCCTTTCCAACTTGCTTTAGATCATGGTGTTTTGTTGCAGCAATAGGAACTCTAAGACATCTTGCATCCCACCCAGGGTAGAGGGCAAAGGGAGATATGCTGAAAAGGACAAGATAAGCACACCAGTCTGCACAGAACAGGAGTAGATAGTGTTTGTGCAACGATGGACTCCTAGATATGAAGCCAAGGACAACAAAATATCCAAAGACATATACAGGCGATGAACAGCCCTGGGTGTAATTTCCCTTCCCATAATAACACCCTTTATCTGCAAAGAACTTCATAGCTTCAAGTTCTTTCACATAAAACACTGTGACAGTGCCCTTGAGTCCCCATTCCAACCTTGCTCCCATGCCAGTGGCCTGACCCAAGGAATGAATCTTTAATCCAAGCTAAGTGGTTTGCAGTTTGGGCTGTACAGTAGAGCTTGGGAGCTTTAAAAACTTCAATGCTTGGGTCTGGAGACCCCACCATAGACTAAATGTATCAGATCTCCTGGGCTAGGTATGCATGAATAGGGATGATCATGGTACATATAAAGTGCAGTATCATCCAAGGGTTTTTGAAATATTCTCACCAAAGAGATCAACTGTAATTTTTACTCAGGACTGAGAATTGCTGCTAAGAGTCTCTCAATATGCTTCCATTCCCTCACGCCAATTCCATGTGAGCTAGTTCTAGCCAGTAAGAAGTCAGCTAGTAGGTCTAGTAGCTAGTGGGTTCTGAGAAATTTTTTTATAACCAGATTATCTTCCTTGGAGCCAGGAATACAAGCATTTTAATAAACCCACACATTGATATTAAGTGTCCAATACAGGAAGAAGAGCTCAGTCACCAAAGTCTATAAGAGCCTAAACTTCTACCCAGATGCCCCCCCCAGTCCTACAAAGAAGCCGCATCAGCCTTCCAAATAGCAGCAGCAGCATCTCCATCCACAGTCACTGTCACCCACCCACTCCTTGGAAGATAATGTCTTTGTCCTTTACTCTCATCTCTTTTTCCCTGCCCCAGACATCATTCAGTGTGTCAAAACCAATTGAGGGGAGGAGATGAAAAACGTTTCTAGGAGATTTTCATGACTTTAAAACCATAAAACTTGCCAGGCGGTGGTGGCACACGTCTTTGATTCCAGCACTCGGGAGGCAGAGGCAGGCGGATCTCTGTGAGTTTGAGAACAGCCTGGTCCACAGAGCGAGTTCCAGGATGGCCAGGGCTGTTACACAGAGAAACCCTGTCTCAAAAAAAAAAATTCGGAAAACAAACCAACAACAAAAAACACAAAACACTTCAAAACACTTCAGCTTTTGTCTGTGAAGGTGAGTTAGGGACCATTATATTCCATCTGTAAATATGGGCATAACAGATGATAGGATGTTTTGTTAAGATGTGAGGAGTCAAAAAAAAAATACGAGGCGTCTAAAGCTTTGACTGGCTTTTGGAAACCCATTCCTCAGTTGCCTTGGCCAGCTTTAATACAAGGGAAGGTCCTTAGTCTTACTGCAACTTAAAATGCCATGCTTTGTTGATATCCATGGGAGGGCTTCCCCTTTCTGAACAGAAACAGAGGAGGAGTGGATTAGGGTGGGGGGGGGTGGAAGGGAGGTGGAGGGAAGAGAATTGGAGAAGAGGGGGGAGGGGAAACTGCAGTCGGGATGTAAAATAAATAAATTTATTTTTAAAAATGTGAGGAGTCTCCCTGGGCCTTACCTTCCTCCACTCTAGAAATCAGGAAAGAACACAGAATTCCTAGCAATTACAGAAACTGACTTGATTACTGGGAGAAACAAATGCAGTTAGCCAGCTTCCTGAAACCCTAGGTCTATTAACCAAAAGAAGAAAATCCATCTTCATTAACATCTTCAACCTTTGTCCCTCCTTCCCTTCCCAGGGGAATACTGAATTACACTATAAAATAATGAATGGAAACTTAAGTCACTTCCGGCCTCCCTCCCCTTTCTTCCTCCTCTGGTCTGCATTGTACAGAAGGCAGCAGGCACCCTTCCAATTCAGTGTTTGGGGAAATGCATTCCCATGCCACTGACTAGATTCCTATGGCTAGCAGCCTGAAGAATAAGCCTTCCCTAGGCCCAGTGTTACACACCATCTGTTAACCCAACCCAGGACACATATAGAGACTGTTAGGAGCCATTTTTGGTAAACCTCTTTATAGAGAATGAACAAAAAAGGAGAGTCTTACTTGCCAAATTGTTAACCGACAATCTAAGATACCATCTATCGAAACGGCGGAATGGAGCTGGGGGAAAACCCATCCTAGCCTTCTTAGAGCCCTAGAGGAAGCTGAGCAAGCAGCGTTTGTGACCTGACACAAACGGGATATGGTCAGATATCCTGCAAACAGCCGTCAGCTTCTAGAGATGGGGGAAAGGACAGGAGGGAGAGACAGGAAGGGAGAAGGGCGTGGCGTACACAAGCCAGGGAAAAGAAATGTCAGTTCTACTTGTTTAAAATAGGGCTGGAGGAGCTGCCCGACAGTGCCCGCATGCTGAGGACTCAGAAAGAAAGCTCTGGACCCGAGAAGAAAGGCAAAATACCAGGCAGAAAAATTAAGGATAAGTAGGAGCAGAATCCACTCTTTTCCATGACACCTTGTTTTGGGTTGTGCTTTCCGTTTCTGGCAGCAGACACCATGGCAAAAGGCTGTCCCACTGGACAAACAGCCATCCACTTCAGAACTACCATTCTTGAACTGTTCTCCAAATCCTATGTTCCACTCTTCACATTAGTTCCCAGGCTCAAGTTGCACTAGGAGGCTTTAGGCCTTCTCCACTGTCTTTGAGCCTTTATAAAGGGATATGGGAGAGCAGAGCTTTGGCTGCTGCTTCGGCTGCACTTACACGTCTCCTCCGGTTCTAGGTCTTCCTCTGAAAAGGGGCGTGACTAAGCACCTCAATTTTTACCAAGCAGGACTTTTCTTGGATGTGTTCTGACAGCATGCGATTCAGGACAACAGCATCCCCTGTAGCCACCCTCTAACTCCCTCTTTCCATCCTCTTGTTTCTTGATCCCCCAAACAGCATTCTTTATAAAAAACCTGCCCCATCCAGAGCCTCCTTACCTGGATCAGCCCCCGGGCAGGGTCGGGGATCAGCGTATTACGTGGCCCAGTTGGTCTTGGTCTCTAGGGGTGTCTCCGCTTCCCTGGCGGTCTCCACGTCGTCTCTGCTTCGAGGGTAGGCCAGCAGTCGCATGGCGGGGCCGCAGGCAGCCTCCACCTGGCGCACCTGCTCTTGGCTCAGGCGCTCGCGCCAGGCGTGCACAGCCTCTCGGGCATCGCGTGCAGACAAGTGGAAGGGCCGATCCGCACCGTAGGCCGAGCCGCGGGTCATGTTGATGGCGAAGGCGTCGAGCGCAGCGAGCGTCCGCAGCCCCGAGAAGCGCAGGAGGCGGCGCAGCTGGGCTTGGGGCTGCCACACCAGGTCCTCGTAGCG